GCCTCTGGAGCTTGCCGACTACACCATGGGGCCTCTGGAGCCTGCCGGCTACACCATGGGGCCTCTGGAGCTTGCCGACTACACCATGGGGCCTCAGGAGCTTGCCGACTACACCTTGGGGCCTCTGGAGCCTGCTGACTACACCATGGGGCCTCTGGAGCTTGTCGACTACAAAGGGCTTGACACGACCTACTTCATCATGCTGGGTGGGTCATGGCACGTGTGGGTCCAGTGGTTACAGTTCCGAGTATCAGAATTGCTGCAGTGAGGCGCGGGTTCAATCCCAGCTACCTGTGCGACAGTTTCAGGTCAGAATCGGCGAAGAGGCCGGGCGGTTAAGCAATTGCTTTCTTCTTTAGCCAGCAATTTCGATCTGTTCCAATTTGGCGGACCTATGTTGAATAGAGCACGATTGTTCATTCATAAATTGCAGCGCGGGGAGTTCTGTTCTAACCGTTGAGGCAAGAGGTTCTTTGTGCTGAGCTCCCGTGACAGTAGCCGGCTTCGGCCGGCTACTACGTCATCTTTCTGGAACTATCTTTCCCGAACTTTGAACATACCGTGCTGTCCCGCTCCGAGGCGTTGAGCCGGCGAATGGTACGACCAGCTATTCTACCCTGGAGTGGGGCTTTCTGCCCTGGAGTGGGGCTATCTGCCCTGGAGTGGGGCTATCTGCCCTGGGGTGGGGCTATCTGCCCTGGAGTGGGGCTATCTGCCCTGGAGTGGGGCTGTCTGCCCTGGAGTGGGGCTTTCTGCCCTGGAGTGGTGCTCTCTGCCCCGGTGTGTTCTCCACTTTGGTGGCCCTGTTCTGCAACCCTTCAGCCATTGAGAAATCTTGAGTTTTTTTTCCAAGACACCCAATTTTGTACCTGAAAAGAAAATTCAGTCAAATTCCTTGAACTGTTCTGACATGGGGCCGCATTGAACCAGTCTTCAGAGGCTCCCATAAATTCCAATTAAAGAAAAATTGCAGCGCGACGCTAGCCTTGGCTGGGATGACGTGCTTTCCTCCGACGTGTGCAATGAGTGGAAAAAAATTTGCAAACAGATCAATCATTCGCCCGCTCTCGAAGTCGACCGATTTGTCGGTCGCAGAGACGGAAACTTCCAGCTGATCGCTTTCACTGATGCCAGTAAATTCATGTTTGGCACTGTGATCTACATCAGAGAAATAGAAAGCGGAAAGCTTAATTACTTGACAGCTAATAATAGAATTGTAAATAAGCAACTTGAAACCAAAACAATTCCATCTCTTGAGTTCCACGCTATTGCACTGGGAACTGAAACTCTTCTTGAAATGTATGATAACCTGGCTGGCGATAAATGTGTGAATAAAATAAAAATTGACAGCCTAACCCTTTTCTCTGACAGCTTAGTTGCTTTAAATCGGATCAATTCCAAGGTACATAAGCTAGAGAAGATGCAGAAAAAATCTGCCTTTGTCTTGAACCGTTTGGAGACAATTTGCAAGCTTTGTGATAAGTATCTAGTAACGTTCAGTTACGTATCAGGGTTACACAACCCTGCTGACTGCATCACTCGACCTGTGAGCTACGCTCAACTAATGAAAAGTAACTATTTTTCTGGTCCCCCGCAGTTGGCGGAGATGCTTGACACACCAGCAGCTGAAGACTTCCTGAGCTTCGTAGTACCATCACCGCATACGCAGTTTGTCATTCGTAGTACCATCACCGCATACGCAGTTGTTGGCAAATTCGTGCGCGGTTGTCCCGGTCGAAAACTACAGCAGCTTTCGTCGGTTGGTACGGGTGAATGGGTATGTGCTAAAATTTGTTGCTGCGCTTAAACTTGCAATTGCACGAAAATATTCGCCCATAAACGATTCAGTTTCAACTGAACCCAAAACCGCCACGAATTTCTACAAAGAATCATGTGAAAACCTGATTCGAATTGACCAACGAAAAAGCTTTCCTGACATTTGTGAGTTTTTTGATCAAAAATCTCCCGCTTTAAAGAATTTTCCTGATTTATTAACTCGGTTAAACATTTTTCGGGACAGAACAGGGCTTCTGAGAGTGAGAAGCAAGTTCGGCAGATGGGAGGAGAAAGCTTCACACAAATTCCCCATTTTGCTTGCTAAAAACAGCAAACTAACTTCACTGATTATTTCTGATCTGCACGAGCGGTTTCATCACGCGGGAATTTATTCTGTGCTAGCTGAACTCCGTAAACAATTCTATGTTCCGCAACACTTCTCAACCGTAAAAAAGGTTCTCCAAAATTGCATCCATTGTAAAAGAATGAATGCGCGCCCTGTACAGAGAATTTCGAGCAGACCCACCGATGATACCATTTAGAAGCATCTTTATTGATCATTTTGGTCCTTACAGAGTAAAATCTGAGACGGGACAACACAAGGTGTGGGTTCTCTGTATTACTTACTTGTCTGTATACTAGAGCTGTTAACTTGAAAGTATGTCTTGACCTTTCGGTTGTGAAATTTCTTAGGACTTTTCAGCTGCACATTTTTGACCATGGTATGCCGGAATTAATTCTTTCGGACTTTGGAACCCAACTGATTGCTGGTGGAAATATAATCAGGAATTTGATTAAAGACCCTGAATCGCAACTCTTCTTAGAAGAGAAAGGCATACGTACCGTTAAATTTAATCAGTACGCGAAAGGAAACAGCTCCCTGGGATCATTAGTAGAAATCTGCGTTAAAATGATGAAAAGACTAATCCACGGAGCCATTGGACGAAATGTAATTAAACTGCCTCACTTTGAATTAGTAGTAGCTCGAGCTGTGCATTTAGTCAATAAAAGACCAGTAGCTTTCAAAGAGGCGCTGCGTGACGAGTCCGGGAGAAGTGCTGACACCACTTTGCCAGCTCCTATCACTCCCGAAATGCTCCTCCGGGGTTATGAGTTGGTTTCAATGAATGCAATTCCCGAAGACGACGATACCCTTAACCCTAAATGGCAGTCGCAGCCTAGCCCCGTGGACAAAATTCGTCACGGCTTCTCAAAGTTGTGTAAAATTAGGACCAAGTTAGCTAAGATGTACAGATCTCAGTTCTTGCCGCAATTGATTTCGCAAGCAGTTGACCGTAAAGATTTGTACAAACCTGTCAAGCACGTTAAGCTTCGGCGAGGAGACGTAGTTCTTCTCAAAGAGAGCAACTGCAAAGCTATAAATTACCCAATGGCTGTTGTAAAGCAAACATTTGAGAATGAATTGAGTGAAGTTACCAGCGTGTTGCTTATGAAAGGCAGTACCAGAGAACTAGTGAAGCGACATGTATCGTCCGTAATACCGCTAATAGTTTCTCCAGAATTTGTTCCTGCTTCAATTGAGACCTCGAATAACGTGAGCGCCGATGTCGCTCGACATGTGCCAGCAAACGGGCCCACGCGGCCTCAGCGCGCAGCTTCGCGTGTCGCTACCGCGCGCTTAAAGCAGCTCTTCAGAGCTGACTAATTCCAATTACTTGTAAGTCGTTCTTTCATTTGTGTGGGTAAATTAAGATGAATTTTCGCGCCAGGATGTTCTGATTTGAATAGTGCGAAAACCTAAATTAAGTATCTAGTGTTAATTTCTTTGTAAGGTTTATTGATATGTATTAATGATACAGAATCACCTAGAGTATTCTCATCTATATCCCATAACCTTTGCTATGTGAAGACCAAAATCTCTCGATTCGATTTCACCTTCCAAATCGAATCCTCGCGGGAGGAGTGTTGAAAACTGCTATCATTCATTTCATTTTATTTAAGCAAGTAGTGATCACAATGTTCCCCATGTCTAAATTTAAATTCATTTTCCGACGGCATTATCTCCTTTACGTGTTTACTTGCACCCACTTAATTTCGCCATATCGAGGTTAATCCGCAGCCTCGAGATTTTCAGCCCTGGCAGCCATTCCAAGCCATTTCAGCACCAACCACCACCGAATGACGACCTCCTCTCTTGACTTCACTGCCCTGCGTGTACGGATCGCTCCGTATTTGTACTTTAGTCTTCGAGTGAGAATGAAGAGCGGCTAGCACTTTCTCGGTCAACCCCGTCAGCGAGATGGCACTCCGTGGAGTCGCTAGCACCGACGGCGCGCAGGAGGCCGACTACGTAGCCTGCTGACTCGTCTGTGGACTCTATGAAAGCCTACTGCGGTAGAGGTGGGTCGCAGTGCACGGATTGGAGTGACATGCTGGTCGGCCTTCTACCTTCAGTTTATTTAGTTGATACACATTGTGATCACTAATGCTTTTTCCACTCGTGGACTCTTTAAAGGTGAATGTCCTACGTTATAGTTATAACCCTCAAATTATTGAACTATATATATAGCTTCCAGAACTATGTTCTTGGCATTATTCTTAATTATATAGATTCATCCCAATTTGCTAAAATCTATCATCTTAATTTTCAGGCATTCACCTCTTGTCAACCGCGTGTGGTGCAGCGGCGGCACTCCAGCAATCCCGACGCTGTCGGGAAGTTTGCCGCTGCTTCGGGGTGCGATTGAGGCGACGCAGCTCGAAACCATTACGATCAATATAATTAACTTTAGTTCGTTGTCGTGCGTTTCTTTCAAACCCCCCACTCGTTTGCGTTTTCAAGATAGGCTAATTTATATCAGTAAATAAATAGGACTGAATTATGCTCCAAATTCAGGATGAATTTGAAAGTCGGCACGATTTGAGATGACAATGCCGGACTTTATTATACCAGTAACTCAATGAATCGTAATAATTTGTACATTTTCAGGATGAATTTGCGATGCGTCGCAGCACCAGAGATGCATAGAGCCGCGGACCAAGAACTCGTGCAGAGCAGGAACAGCGCCAGACAGACCGTTGTAAGCTGGACTGGTCCGCCGTGAGATGGTCCGGCCCGCCGTGAGATGGTCCGGCAGGCCGTGAGATGGTCCGGCCCGCCATGATATGGTCCGGCCCGCCGTGAGATGGTCTTGCCTTCCTGAAGCCCAGGTCAGTCTTGCCTTCCTGAAGCCCTGGTCAGTCTTGCCTTCCTGAAGCCCGGGTCAGTCTTGCCTTCATCTCAATGCCCTTTTTCTTCTTTATTTTCCAGATTTTGTGCGTGTATTGATTAATTATTAATTGACGTGGAGATAGATTTAAAAATTTAGATTACTAAGATTGTTGAAAGTAATTTCTGTATCATTTGCTGTGAATACATGGGGTATAATTTTTGACTAGTTCTTATAATACATTGATCTACTGTAGAAAAAGTTCACTACTCGACTGATTTTGATTGACTGAATCGGGACAACATGTTTGACTGTGAATTAGAATGTGAGAACAAACTACAACTTCTACTACAAACTAGCATGGAAGAGTTAGTTGTTAGTATATAAGTTTAGTTGCTATTAAATGCCTGCTGCTTCATTGAATGCATCTGAAATATTATACATAACCTCATTCCAGTTATGTTATGTACCAATGTTACACAGAGAAAGTAACATGAAGGGAGAGATTTATATAAATCTGTTAGTTGATTCACATGAAAAGTTGAAACGTTTAATCAGGAGAAAAATTTATATATAACCCGTTCAGTCCGAGAAAAAAAGTTGTTGGATTTATTGAAAATCGATGAAAATTTAAATAGTCTTAAAAGATGCATTTACATTGTTCATGGACGTAAAGAAATTTTTTGTCTTCTGTAATAAAAGATACGAGCTGGTACCATATTGTACTACTATTGTAATGCGAGTACAAAATCTGCATTGTTCGGTGCTGTACTAATTATTGACAAAATGAACAAACTTTGTTAGGCATTTGTTCCTATTGAAACTGTTCATTTTAATCAAGTAAAATATCATATTTCAGAAGAAATAATTGCAGATGTTAAGTAAGGAAGCAATTCACTCATAAGCCACAACCGCAAGAGCAGCATTTTGCCAAGCATGGTCACCACAGTCACAGTCTCTACCAAGATACTCCCTTATATGGGAATATATCTTGACGCCGCTCTGTGTATCCTAATCATATAGACTTATTCTTGTAATTAATAACATTTTACACTCGCGTTTTGAAAATTTCGTAACAGTGGCTACATCCCGAGATACTTTTTTTACTGGGACTAACATGTTTTGTTAACATTTTAAACATGTTTTTTAAATGATGCACAAGAGGCCGCACATCCACAATTTTCAACATTTGCCTGATATATCAAAATTAACAGCAGTAAAATATGCACACTTAATAGCAATATTAAAAATGATCACACTTAGTTCGTTTCTTTCCTCATCAGCATCAGGCCAATTTCTTTGTATTGCGCACTCAGTCATTTCATCCCTGACGCCCGGCAATATAATAAACGCGTTCACAATCAATTCAACAAGCTCTTCTGGAGAATAGTCCGAATATTATGTAGAATACTCCGAACATTCAGGAGAATACTCCGAATATTCTGCAGAATACTCCGAATATTCTGCAGAATTATCTTCAATATAATTCCACTGGTTACCGGCTATCCTCTCCTAAATATATTGTTACTCTCTTCTGATGTTGCTCTTTTCATCTTGTCAAGGAATAAGAACTTGTGAACGATTATTTGATAGATTACTTGATGCAAATTTTTGGGATAGGGCTTCTTTTTCTCACTACCTCTGTAAAGATCGTCTCTGCAACCGCGTTGTGTTAGCACTGATCTTCACAGTTGTCAACAGCAAAGCCTGGACTTGGTATAGATGGCTTGAATGCATAGCGAACAGGCTTTCATGCACTCCTTTGCTGAAAAAAATATTTATTTACGAGTGCATCATGCGTTATCGTATGGTACCGCTAGCAGGGACGGGTTTATCATTTATATATTCTCAAGTTTTGACTCGTGTATCATTGAAGCAGCATTACAATATTAAATTGTTCATTGAGAGTTTGTAAACTTGGCTACCTTTATTAGGGTCGTTGTTTGTTGATATTTATTTATTAACATTGATGAACGTTACAGAATTTGATCGATATGCCGTACATTTCAGAATTTAAAAATAGATCAAAACTTCTACCGTACCCGTCGTCATCACTGACCTGCTGCAGGACATCATTGACCTGCTGCAGGACATCATCACTCTCCGGGAACATAACTTTAAAGTTAACCCTATACCTCCGTATGTCACTCTCCGGGAACATAACTTTAAAGTTAATCCTATACCTCCGTATGTCACTCTCCGGGAACATAACTTTGAAGTTAACCCTCTACCGCCGTAAGTCACTCTCCGGGAACATAACTTTGAAGTTAACCCTCTACCGCCGTATGTCACTCTCCGGGAATTTTCAACTTAAATTATACGTAAACTATTGAGTGCAGCAGCCTGAAGACGTTTGTACGCAACAGAGAACATTTTAAAGTTGTCGTACGTGGCGGCAACCATCAGTGCAAGTCATTTTGCGCTCACTAGAACCTATCCTTTTTGGGAAGTAGGCGCGTGACAATATTGCTCTGATTACTCATGTCAGGTGGTAGAGGGTTAATTTGCTGCCACACTGGGAGTTAGTTGTATCGGATTTGGTTTTCTCCTGCTAACTATCAGGTTTTTGTGCACGGATCATAGAGATTTTCACATCATTGAGATGTCAGTAATGGTGTGCTGTAGCCATTAGATATTACATTCAACTAAGATTAAATTTTTATGTCAGTAAAACTAATTTGTTTCAGACATAATTGAGAACTTATAACAAGCTGAGACGGGCATGTCCAGCACGGGCATGGAGGATGTCTTTAATTAATTAAAGGGGAGCATGTATGCGAAAATCTATTTTCTATATATATGGTAGAATCATCTCCAAACTTGGTACACATATGTAAAATAAAAAATGATTACTATTTTGTTCGTGTAAATTTTTAGAAAAAAGTGAAAGAAAACGTGAAATTCATAGAAAACGGCAAAAAAGGGGGTACTCTAAAAAAATTTATGACTGTTGCAAATTATATGCTACAACATCGAGACACGTATCATTCGATGCGTAAAGACCCTATCTAGCGATTCTCGAAATACTTTTTCAATTTTTTCCATGGTTCTCTTGTTATGATGATTTTTCTGAAATTTTTCGATTTTTCAACAAATTTTTTAATTTTTCCCTCTTTTTTCAAAATATTTTCAGAACTGAAATGAAATCGAAAAAAAGGTTCGAGAATCGCTAGATATTTTAATTGCGAATCGAATGGTATATGTCTCATCGCTGTAGCTTCAAAACTCTAGGAGTTATAAAGTTTGTCATGACATTAAGTGTGAATGTTCAGGAGGACGCGATAAAGTCCCGGGTGCACCGCAATAGGCGGTCAATGTAGCATAGATACCAAAGTAAACGTTTCTGGAGCTTGATTCCAATCAAGGATGGTGGAAGCGACTACATGCGCACGTCCCCGTACGACGCCCGGAGGCACACTGGCTTACACTTTCTAAAAACACTGTATTTGTAGTGCAAGGCAGTGAATTTCCCTCAATGTAATTACTGAAGGAACTCCCCCCCCCCTGCCCCCCTTTCATGAAGTGTGGTGTACGTCAAAATTCACGTACAGAGACGGTAATGATACCGTTGGATGGCTCAGAATGTCAGCTTTTAAGATGAGACTAAACACGTAACTGCAGCACAACTCAAATAGACACTATATTTAAAGAGCTCAGTAGCTAATTAGTTCCTATCTAATTTCCTAATAGAACTCCCCCACCCGCCCCCCTTTCATGAAGTGTCATGAATCTAAAAATGGACGTATAGAGATGGTAATGGTACCGTTGGATAGAACAGAATGTCAGCTTTAAGAGTAGATTAAAAACCGGAAAAGCCGAAATCCAAAATTTTTGCCTACATGCTCCCCTTTTAATTAAGATGCCCATGGGAGGCACAGCAGCGTTGGGCACGGGTCCCGGTGTCATCCTTAGATTAATTTAACTTCTTGTCTTAGAGCTTGGCTGTAACTTCGCTGGCCTGTATGCACTTATTTCACACCTGTAAGTACGAACACACCTTGCAATATTTTCACTATTTTCCTTCTTATATTTCTCAACGAGAACTCTTTTCTTGTGTTCCTCAACGGAAACAAATAGGTTAGTTATTAAACTACAAAACATTTTTGGAGTAAAACGTAAAGCCTTACACATGGAGTTTAAGCAGTCGACAAACATAAATTAAGAAATCTATTCCAAAACTGGTATAACTATATATTAGAACAATACATGATTACGTACGATAATGTAGACCCTTCATTATTTTCAAAATATACATACAAACTTATTCCTGGTTTTTACAACGGCATCAGCTAGAGGATAACATCATCTCATATATTAGATTGTAAATGATAAGCACCACAATAATTGAGAATCTAACTTAGTAATCAGTAGTCAAATACGTGAAGTGAAACTCTAAACAAGTTTGAAATTTCTAAAATGAGTACTCAAGTACTCAATGAATGAAAGATGAAACTCATCATCTCAGAACGGATATTGATTATAGTTGAAAAGTAAATTTCAATGGGAAATAGTATACAAAACACCATACTAAATGCAACTACACGCATGGTCGCCGATGTGTTGTCGCCGATGTGTTGTGGCTGTTTCCG